AAGTTGCCCTGACTCCAAGTCTTGGTGTCAGTTTGAGTTTTCTGCTTGTCAGATGCTCGAAACATTGGTCTTCTTTTCATCACTGTTTGCTTCCCTTGCGGAGGCCTGTGGAGAAGAGATTTACCGATTAGTTTGATCCCATCGTACGCCTAAGGTACCTGGAATAGAAATAATATGGGCCTCTTCGAAATTTGTACGGAGTACCTCTGAAGGATATTGTGTCACGATAACTGAGGTGCTCAATACTGGCTGAACATCGCTCGCCACGCCTCGTGGACTGGGGTGCTATCTTTCGCGTTCAAACAAGACAGCAGTGTCCATCCTGTTCTTCAGCTTCCAGTATTATTATTGAGTAATGCAGACGCGATTCTTCCAGATCTTGGTGCGGAGTACTCCGTAGAAAGGTAGACTTGGACAGTTTAGTACCTCTCTAACTTTAGTTGGTATCAGGGGCATTTTCTCCGTAGCCGACTCACCGCTTCCAGAATCCTGTGACGTCGCTGTATAGTTGCGGTCAACTGTCTTTCAGGCAACTCCTCTCTAGGCTCCGTATTTGAACTCCTTCTTCTGACGATGTTACGGCAAATTTTTAGAATTTCTACACCCTCTGTTTGAAATTCAGATGCTCAGTATCTACTCCGGATATGTCAAGTTCCTTCCTTACGAGGCCGACAAAGCTAGGAGACCCCAGGAGGGTCAACATTTCATCCCCTCATTTCTGAACTTGGTCTCAGTACTTTGAGCACGTTACATCGACAATTGATTTGGAGACAGCAGCAAGCAGCTCTGGATATGACACAGTCTTTACCACTAATGCGATAACTATCACGCTTACAGAATGCCACCGGCTGTTACCAGCGCACAGGCTGCGCCTCCCGTGGCGAACCGACGTGATCCTATGAGACCTTCCACAAACGCTCACGGGGGCCTCTCCTCGCATACGAACGGACTCATGGAGGCATCACCACCGCACGGTCATCAGAAACTCGTGTTCACCGATCCTGTAGCCCTTCGGTACCTGGAGGAGGACCCTGCGACGGTTGTGCTGCATCGACGCCTCACCCTGCAGGGTTACGAGATATACATTGTTGAGCAATGGGCTTGTTCAAGGGTACACCCAACATTTGTTATTACGACTTACACGGGCGATCCTTCGCACAAGGTCTTGGTTGGCGTCCTCAGCGTCCCAACTGACGAAAACACTTGGTCTCCGCGTTTGAAACTGTACTTCAACGCCGTCACGCAATGTCAAGCACGAACGAAAGACACACCTCTGGGCACTGTCATGGTAACTGACCTGAGCTCGTTTCCGTCTGCGCTCACCGTTATCCCAGTCCCCGATGGTGACATACTCCGTCACAAGCAGGATTTTATCGTCAATGAAAACCTGAAACGGCTTTCCTGCGCCGGCCGGGCCGGCTTAAAGCTACAACCCCCTTCACCTGCGACGGTGGCAAAGTTTTTCCAACTCTATCGAACGAGCGAGCGAGTACCTGTGTATAGTGCTGTAATCGAGCTTGTTAAACAATGCCAGATCGCGCTGACAATGTTTGGCCTCTTGGCACCCGAATACGTGGACGGGCTGCTTTGCGATGTCACCGAGACCGCACTCAATGATTGGTGGACCGAGTTCGGGATTGATTTGTACAACATAGAACCAAGTGACGGCGTACTGGGACCAACAACTGTAGCTGCTTTGCTGGGCACCTTCATGGGAGCTCGAAATCGACTTCACGCCTTCGGTGCCCCGGTCGGGAAGGACGCCTTCGATATCCGCAGTCTTAAGAGGGCAATCGAGAGCTTTCAGAAGTCACAGAAGATCGAACGGACACGCAGACTGGATCGGCAAACTCTCGACCGGCTTCACCGGGCAACTGCCAAGGCGGCAAATGCAGAAGGATGGACTGACGCTGTCAAGTCAACGATGGCCGAATTGAGCGGACATGGGGGTGAGATGGTCATGGGTATGGTACGGGGTCGGGAAAAGGGTGGCATCGCCGATATTGAGACACTGGAGCTGGACAATTTCGCATCGCTAGTGACCGGTGAGAGAGCAAAGTGGTTGTGGAGGGGGAAGCCACGTAAGAGTGGGCTGGGTGATGGCTTCGCTCATGATTCGCCTGCTGCGGAAATGATGTTCAACAGGGATGAACAGGGCAACTATGTGTGGACGAGCCGCAAACGCCATTCGCACGAAGATCTGGCTGGTGACCCATCCTTGCAAGGCTCAGACCGTCCGTGGAGGCAGCCTGAAACGGGGGCCGCCCCGGACGAAAAGGATCAGAACCTGAGTCGCATGGTTCGGAGGGGTGTTAGCGGCAAGGTGTCAGACGCACGAATCGGATTTGGAAGATTCAAAGAAGCGGTTGGGCTGCCCAGCCTTCGATCTCAGCACCACAAGCAGACGAAAGATGGGGCGGAGTTAAGGGTTGATGCGGCTTACATGCCAGCTATCGAAAGCGATTCGGAGATGCCTGCCCTAAAAACAGAGGCTGATGGTACCCAGACCGATCAGGAAAGCATTTCTGAGTCTCATGACCAGAAACAGTTGGACGCCGCAAAGGCAGAGCCACCAGCGAGTACTGGTGGTCTGATAGTCTCCGAATTGAAACCTCCGAAAATCACTGTTGATTCTCCACCAGATAATGAGGAAACTGATTCAGCGCGAAAACCCTCGACAAGTCAGCTGGACGAGGACGAGTCGGATCTAGGGCGATCCAGGACACGATCGACCGACGCATCTGTTAGTCAGGACGAACTCTCTCGATTCGATCTGATGTTATTGCGCCGACCGCAGAGTTGCATAGATTTCACCACGACAGATGACTCGGAACGTATAAGCAATGGTTGGCCTCGCCACCTGTCCTTCAGTATTGTTGAAGACGTGGTACTTGGCTGGGAAAGCCTGGGAGGCCGAGACGCACTGCAGCCTACGCCAGACGCCACTCTAGAGCAAGCCGTTGCGCTTGAGGATACGCTGGCCTCTGACGTACGAATGTTTAGTTCCAGAATCGAGGAGCTGAGCCATCACACAGTTCCTTGGGTGGAAAGACAAGTGAACTCGGTGGACGAATTGAACCGAAAGCTCTATGAGTCGCACGAGAACATCAACTCAATCTACCTAGAACAGGCTGAGAAATATCAGCACATGAGGGAACGCTCCAGTGACTTGCTGACGGAGGAGCACACCTACCTTGTCGATACCATGAAACGCGTCGAGATGATGGGAGCCAAGCTGGATTATGAGCTCAATGTCCTTGAGTCCAAAGTCGAGGATGTGGAGAGCGGCCTCGGGGAATTCGAGCGACATGTGTTGGAGCTTGAAACAAGGATGAAAAGTCTGATAAAGAACGAGGAAGAGAAGCAGAGCAATTCATGGTTGTCGCGGTTGGGGAGATTTGTTGGAATGCCTTCTAGGTGATATGCTTCGATCCTTTCATGTCTTTTGTGTTAAGCGTGATATCCCTGTATTTTTATATACCAGTTCTAGTGTACATAGTGTGAATAGAGGCTCGGTGTCCCATATCATACGCACTGCAAAAAGCACGACTCGAACACAAAGACTAATGGTCGAGAACGGGTCCAGAGCATCCCCATAATAGACAAAACTGCCAGAACCGAGTGACACCTCGTATCCTATGAGTAAGAGTCTTCATGGCGAACTCAGCATGGGATATCATCCCGAATCCATTCGATTGCAAGCAAAGACAAACGTTGAGAGAATCCACGCCCAGCATGAAAGTATGACCTCCCAGCGAACATAGGAAGAGGTTGTAAGAGCATCAGTTCCAAACAAATCAGTCTATGCGCGCAATATGCCCTTCCAGACAAGACTAGCGAGTAAAGCCTGCGTATCTTTCTTACATGCCGAATCCAGGAGCGCCCTGCTTCTGGGCCGCCTCGCCCTGCATCTTCTCACTGACCTTGATGTTGACTTCGAAGAACTTGGAGACGCAGCGGTCGAGGCAGACGGATTCGCCCTTGTTCAGGTCGCCTTCGCGGTAGTCGTTGGGAATGCACTTCTTCTGGCAGGACTCGGTGAGACTGAGATTGAGTATGGCGTTAGATTGGTTATAAAATGCGGGATGAGAGTAAGGCCACGGTACTGTCGTGGGCACTGGTATAGCTAAGGAGGAGACTGATGTGTCTTACCGGTTGAACATATCGGAGACCATCTCGACTTCTGTCTCTGCGGCAGCGATCTTCTCTGCCGAGGACATCTTGGGGGGACCGCCGAAGAGGAAAGACATGATGATGGTATCTTATGGAAGAAGGTTTGATCAAGTTATGTGATTGGATATCTGTGAAGCGGTTAGCAATCGTCAATAACGTCTGGATCAGAAAGCGAGCTATTGTACTGAGTATGTAGGACGTGGATCTGTTGATGAATGGTAGCTCAGATTGATTCTGATGAGATATGTATGATATTGCGGCTGGGAGCTAAGACCGTCTGTTCCCACCGCCTTCCATAAATTCATTGACCTTCTCAGTGACCACAATTTTCTTCTCTTCTCTTTCCCATCTCTAACGTGATGTGACTGTAGCTTTTCTCTTTAATATGCACTCAATTCGCCCCCGGTGGGCTTCACAACTATGCTCTAAGAGTTTCCAATTTAGGTAAGATGCTTATTTTCTTTCTTTCTTGACTATTTCCCATCAATTGAAATGATGAGACAAACATTCCTTTCCAGAACCGCTGCAGATGATGCTTGTTTCAAGCAATTGATCGCACCGGAGTCATTTCTTTTACCTGATTCAATACCCCGTTCTTGTCTTTTTCTTTTGAGGAGAAACTGTGTTGCTTGAGTTGATCGGCTAATATGAGCAATCTATCAGTGCAGGATCGCCGCTCACTTCCAGTAACCATCGTACTTCTCGCATAGCAGATAGTTTACTTGGAACAATCAAGCCGGTCTCATCTTCATCTATACGTACAAGGCATAGCAGCAGCGCAGCCTCCCCCGATAAAGCATTCAGACGCCGGCTTGAGGAGGTCAAGAATGCCTGTTCTGTCCCATATCCCCGTCTCCCAAGTGACAATCGGTCGCTGAGCTGTGCGGCATTTCGTGATCGATATAGCCACCTTGCCAGCAATCAAACAGTAGAAGATGACACTGTCGTTGTTAATGGTAGGTTGCCGCTGTTCTGGCCCTACTCAGTTGTCCTCTGTACTTAGATTTGTAGGAAGAATACGTGCCTATAGACTGGCCGGGAGCAAATTGATATTCTTCGATATCTTCCAGGATGGACACAAGGTCCAGGTTATGTGCAACATTCGCAAGCTGGACGGAGTAGCTCCCGATGCTTTCAAGAGATTCTACCGTCTCCTTCGCCGCGGCGATACTTTCTGTATGTTGTGCCGTATAGCCATTCCCAGTACCGTTACCCCAGACTGAACGATCTTCCATAGCCGTAACAGGTAAACCACACCGCACAGGAACCGGAGAGCTCACTGTTCTTGCAACTGAGCTTCCTCGGTTGCTGTCGCCTTGCCTGCACGATGTCCCCGTCGACGCCGAAGAGCATGAGACCTCTCCCTACCCACGCCATGTCCAGTTCCTTGCCGACCAGAAGGCGGCAGATATCGTTCGAGCTCGATCAGCTATAATTCAATTTCTGCGCCAGTTCTTTCTCGACAGATCGTTTATGGAAGTCAGCACTCCCATCATTGGCTCGATAGCTGGCGGAGCGATTGCCCGCCCGTTTCAAACTTCTGCTACCGAATTTCCCGACAGGCAGCTGTCTCTGAGAATCGCGCCAGAGCTATGGCTGAAGCGCTTAGTCGTCGGTGGGTTCGACAAAGTGTTCGAGATTGGCCCATCATTTCGGAACGAAGGTAAGTCAAGACGATGGCTTCGTGATTCGAAGTCTTGAGGGGAGTGACTGACATGTTGGGACAGGCCTGGACAAAACGCATAATCCCGAATTTACAACCTGTGAATTCTACCATGCATACGCCAACCTGGAAGATCTGATGTCCATCACAGAGAACCTCCTATCAGGCATGGCGGCACATATTCAGGAGTTCAACGAGAACGCTAGCCTGAAACCACCAGAAGTCGACTTCTCGGCTCCCTTCCGTCGAGTAGACTTTACCACCGGCATTGAAGACAAGATTGGTCGCAGACTCCCCGACCTCACCACGCCAGATGCCCTAGACCATGTCAACCAGCTATTCAGAGACCTTTCCCTTCCTATTCCCAAGGACCCCACTCTTCCCCGTCTCCTGGACGAGCTCTGCGGCACCTACCTCGAACCCGAATGCATCAACCCGACCTTCATCATTAATCCTCCAGAGTGTCTCTCCCCCCTGTCAAAGTCCTTCATCCACCCCGTCAATCAGCAGCGTGTCGCAGCGCGCGCGGAGCTGTTCATCGACGGACGGGAGATCGTTAACACCTATGAAGAGGAGAATTCTCCCTTTGAGCAGAGACGGAAATTCGAGGACCAAGTCCGCTACAGTAAGGGCACCGATGAGCCCGCGGAGATTGATGAGAGCTACCTTGAAGCGTTGGAGTGGGGGTTGCCTTCTACCGGTGGATGGGGCTGTGGCATTGATCGCCTCTGCATGCTCTTCACCGGTGCAAAGAGGATCGGGGATGTCCTTCCTTTTGGAAACCTTCGCGCCGTAACCCGTCGCCATGATGGTCTTTCGAGGACTACCGATTGAGGAGCTTGATAATGGCTGTATGATATTTCTCTACTTAGATACCTGTACAATATTACGACTGCAGAACATCCAATTCTTTTAATTCCATCTTCCGTATAAATGCTTAAGATCCGTGCGTTGACACCAACGATACCAAAATTTGCTCGCATCGCGGGTATTAGCCGTGATACCCACTGCCACTCATCACAAGAAGAGATCAACAAAAGAATCACCAAGGGCAACAGCCACAGTATTCTACCTCGTTCGAAATCACGTCATGAACAAGGACGTCGATATGCTCACCCACTGGGAGACAATAGTAGTATTGCCCCCGGGATAGTACAGCTTCTTTGGTGAGTCCGCCGGGGTCAACCCATAAGGCTCTGGTTGACATAATCGCACCATAAAAAAAAGGAGGGAAAACCGAACCCTCTAAGAGAACCGCTGCAAAGTTCTCCGTCTGATGCTCTGAGTGGTACGCACTAGAAAGTCCGGATACGTACGCGAAAAGACCAACACAGGGAGTTTTCGAGCCACAATTCGGCAGGAGAGGAAGGAAATGTAAAAACAAGAGGCTCGCTGCAAACGCGTCGCAGCAGCAGGGCCAGACCCGCCAGGCGAGGATTCTGCGGTCTCTTTGCGAGGGGTTTTCGAAGGCATCGGCTTCGATTCAATGACTTCGCCGTCAGCGAGAGGCCAGTCACGCACCGGGTCCCCTTCTTCGAGAGCCGCAAGTAGGCCACCTTTTTCGAGAATCGCACTATCCTGGTTAGCCACATACCAATCTCAAGAAGGGAAGGACGTTCGTACGTGTCGAAACGCGCATCCCAGCCACGGTTCTTGTCAATGTAAAAAGAGCAGGTCGCGGCCTTGTTATTCCAGACGCAGTTTGCACATGCGCCCGCGAAGAAAGCTCGCTGCTGACGATCGATGGTATACTCCGGAGCAGACACGCAGCGACGAAACGTGCCTGCCCCATGAGCACATGACTTAAAGCGAAACACCGTACAACGACCCCGAATCATCCCAGAACCAACAGCAAGAATGAAAACATGAATGGCTTGCTGGGAAAGATGTTGACGGAGTATTTTATGGGTAAACCGACGCGTCTACGGGATGAATACCTAGATCACCAAGAGAACACAGGCATGAAGCAGAGTGGAAGATTTTATCATGCGTGGGCTGGGGTCGACACAGCAAGAGCCAGAGGCGAAGACGGGATGGACTCGATAGCCCCCGGCAGATTATCACCCATCTTCTCTCGCATCCTGTCCTCATCCAAATAATCGCTCATCGGGCCGACGGTCTCACAGCCGTAGCCCGAGTCAATGGTGAACGCTTAGGATAGCGAATCCAAAGAAGGCTTTGCTGATGCTGACCTGCAATGCGTGTCTACCGCTAGATCTAGGTTGAGGAGCCATCGGTGTTTGTATGATGGCACTGTATGTCCATTGGGACCGCAAGGAGTGGCCATTCATTTGGGTTATTGGCGATACCTGGTGGAAGCTGCAGACACTAGAGACATTACGTCCGTGGAAGTCTTCCTTCTCAGGAAAGAAGAGCATCGTTGGCCATCGGCCGACGATTTTGCAGGTAGTGGGCTGTCCGACTTCGTGAGCTTTTGCATCTTCTTCCTTAGGAGTGGGCACTTTGCGGGTTAGAAGCTGGCCGATATTTGGTTGGGCTATTTCATGCTCACGAGATGGGACTTTCACGATCAGGGTCTGGATTTCCGGAAAGTAGGTGAGCCGGACAACACTTCCACGCTCGTGACGGTTGGCCTCCATAAGGTCAAAGTCTCTCCTAGCAACATGCTTCGAGATATGTCGGAGAATAAGACATTCACTGCCACCTGCTGCGAGTCTCTCCCCAGGAGCTGAGAGCCTGAGACCTGGCGTTCTGGATAAAACCTAAAGCATCGATCTTAATTACCAAGGGTTCCAGGTCGTCATTAAAGTGCACCCATTCCGCTTCTCCTTGTCCCAGGGTTGAGTCAGGAGGATTATGGCGGCCTTCAGAGGGGCAATTGGCAGTGGGATTACTACACACATATGCCAGTCGGTATGTGATTCTGGCTCTTCAACATTGAAGTTCACCTTCATCACATCACCAGGCTGTAGGTCAAGGCAGAACTCATCAGGGAGCTTAAGGAATCCAATATACTGGCATAAGCCCGCACATGGTATCTTAATCACCTTCAGGGTTGCGATCAAGTCCGTAAGGGACTTCATCAGCCCCGCCACGTACTCATGCTTATAGATTAGCCTGTAGCCAAGGAGAGCCACGTACTCCTCCCAGCTAAGAAAGCTCAGGTCTGTCAATCAGGTTACGACTGGACGGTTTTCTTGGGTAGTCCCCAATCTGGAGAAAGGCTTTGTTCGGTGTCCCGGATACCAAGCGTCCATTGTCATCTGTGTCAAAGTTCTTCCGCATTGACTCGAAGCAAGTGTGAGGGTGAGGACTCGCTGAGAGGGGGGCTTCCTAGGAAACGAACTATTTTCAGGCGAGTATGGTTCGTAAAGACTAAGGGCCATGGGTCCAAGTCTGGCTTCCACGCGCCGGCACGACCTAAGTAAAAGGAGCACTCGGCTCCCTTACCGTGCCAGACGCAATTTGCGCAGGCACCGGCGTGCAAAGAATGGCGTTTCGAATCCGAATCGATGACTTCTGGTGCTGCAACACAAGATTGGAAAACTCCCTTGCCGCTTTCGCACTGATCGCAGGGAACCTCTGCTTCCGATCCACGACGTTGGAGTTGAAATCGTCAACTAATCGCGACTGTCACTGTATCTTTGCTGCTATCATTGGGATAGCATCGGTTATGTCTGCTGTGCTGCCACCTCTGTGTTGTGATTCGCAGCCCGAAGACCACCCTGGTGGAGCACAGGACTGCGTGAATCAGCCAAGAACGAAGTTCGAAAGAGAAGAAAGGACATACATATCAAGCTCGTTGTCCCACTCAGCATTCTTGATCAGATAGAAGTCGCACTGAGTGCCTTTTCCATCTGTCCGAGCCTCAAGTTTATTGAACCCAAACCGCGCCCCTTAACCGGTAACTGCTGCCTATCCATTCAGTGTGTACCCCAAGCGGCCACTGCGACAGGTTTTTCCAATCCAGGTCCTTGCTCTTTATAACAGAAGTAGAAGAGAGCAGATAGGTTCTGAAAGAGGCAGACAGCAACCAGTACCTGCCTGGCGATTATCAAGACGATTCCAGACATCTCATGCGCAGGTTGGAGTCAATGCATATCTGAGCTCTCAGGTCAGACTCGGTACCGCCCCGCGGACGACCAAGCAAATGATGAGGAACAGGAAAACAGAAACCATGAGCAACACGAACCCCCAGAGATTACCAACCCCAGTATACGCCGTGAAGAGAAAACACTGAAGGCTTATGTGAGAAGTAACGCGCGAGCAAGATGAGCACACAACATTCCTAGGACATTGAACATTGGTGTTAGCAAGAGGACTAGACAACAACCTGATAGGAAAGAAGTACTCACAATTGGCCGGGACCACAGAGCCTTCAGCCTCAAGCAAGGTCAAGGAAGCCCCCCAAACGCGCTGAAGGTCTGCAATGAAACCAGCGCTCAGGAGGTGGCGGTCTGGGAGCGCTTCCTCAACTCCCACCCGAGCATCACAACACGCACAAAATCCGCACCTGCCAGCGGGCCAAAATCTCGCAGAAATCTTCCTCGCTCATGCGCTGCGCGCGCAGGTGAGATTCGCACATGCTTTGCCCTTGTACAAAACAAAGTAGTTGTCCAGGATATTAGCGTCAGCCAGCATCACGACACGCTTCCGGAAATCGAGAATCACGAAGTGTCATGTTGATGGTAGCCGTAGCAGCCAGCTGCTGTGACGGGCCATGTTCCTCAGGAACGTGCAATGGGCCATTGATTCGGCCAACCTCACGAAAGAACAGATGAGAAGGAGCTCACGGTTAAGGAAACCAACTACCAATGCCTGTACGAATGCGGGGAGTTCTTCACCAACTTGTATTCGAAGCTCCAAGATCGAGCGGATTGTGATGGGAGACTGAAGATTTTCGGAACGGCTAGGCCATAGCAAGTCACGTTCCGGTTGATTTTTCTATCTGGAGGGGTATATACGATGCGACGTTCAAGGCTTCTTCAGGAGTATCCTGGAACTCAGCATGAGGTACATGTTCGAGTACCCGAAATGACAGACCGGCTCTCGCTCGGCTGAGGACGACATTTTGAGCTGTATCGAAAACGGCGATAAAGGAGGCGTCTTCCGCGATTCCAGCTCTTTCGATCTTGTTAGTGGCAAATGACCCTTCGAGAGATAGCGCTCCTGAACTTGGTTTGGAATCTCCATGATGTAAGAGATCGTGGTCCAGTATGAAACGGGCCGACGCTTCGGGGTAACAGGAGCAGGCGCAGGATTACCCTAAGCCCATATCGGATCACCGTACTCATTTTGAATTAGTGGGCTTGTTCAGCGTACTGTATTCTCGAGATTTGGCGACTCCCCTGACGGTGTTTGTCCCGACCTTGCGCCACATCCGTATGAGGACTGCCTTGACGGCTCCATTGCCGCCGACGAGCCACTACAGTAGATTCTATTGAGGGCCCACTCGATCGGCATGCCGGTGATAAGTCCTGTCAGGCAGTGTAGGAAGACGATAAGCCGCGGGCAAGCCACAAGTCCATATCGTCTCTCAAGCGGTTTCGAGACTCGGACCAACCAGACTCAATGACAACAGTGGGAAGGCACTGGCCAACAGGTTTGATCATGCCGTCTGCCTGCTGCAAACCACTGTATGGGCAGCAAAGCGTTCACGAGACACAGAGGGTTGAATCGATATTGTTTGAAGAATGCAGCCCTGAACGAATTTGATAACCGGCAATATCAATAAATCAAAACTCCAGGGAAGGGGGTGGCATTGGAGCAGTAGCAGTAATAATGTACTGGAATCCCTGGGATGATCTGTCTGGCAAGACGTCAGCAATGCGAGCATGAGAGCCTTTGAACTATCGACATACCAGAGACAACCCGAATCTTCCGGGTCCGAAGGCTGCTTCGCGGTCGCTAATCAGGGCTGCGAAGAAAAGGAAGCACTGCTGAAGGGATGGCCTTGTGTTAGATGCTACCCAATTGTGCCAAATAGATCATCCTATTATGAAGATTTTGGTGGCAGTGGACGAAGAAACAATGAAGGATCAGTCATAGAATTATGAAGGTGAGAAGCAAGCCATGTTTATCTCACATGTGAATAGTCCGGAATGGGCCTTCTTGTTATCTATACAGTGAATAAGCCATAGGAAAAGATTTAGATTGGAAGAGGTGAGGGGGGTTTATATGCTGCGGGATCTTCCGAATTCTTCAGCCTGAAGCGAATGTAGATAATCCTACCATTCACTACTGTGGCAGTCCCTCCATGCATGAAGCAAAGGCGTATGTATGATGCAAACTGAAAGCAAACAGGCCCACGCCATGCTAAATATGCTGTAAGATGCCGGGGTATATACAAAGACCAAGATATGAAAGTGATGAATGGAATCAAAGGACAGATCCGGGCTGTCTATAGAACTGGGCTCTCCCAAGCGTCGCGTTTGATCTTCATCAAAGCTGACTGCTTGTGGGGGAAAGTAACCTCTCCTTCTTTGTAGAATCCCGCGTTTTGAAGGTATTGAATGATCCTGTTGCATGTCAGCAAAGCTCTTGCAGTCCAAGAAATGGGATTGAAGCTTACTTCTCATTATCCACCCGTGGCTCCAGCATGACTGTCTGCGTCCGCGGATCCGCAAGCCAGCAGTAATGGACCAAAGCACTGAGCCAGATGGCGACCCGGTGTGACCCACGGTATTCCTGCTCTCCCACCAGTAAGTGAATTCCCCGGTCGTAATTGTCCGCCCCTCCGATAAGTGGTCCCAAGCGATCCTCCTTGACCCAGTAGATTTCAAAGTACCCAAACGGCTTGCCGTCCCAGCATCCAATGACGGGAAAGCTGTGACGGCTGGTAAGATTATTGCGAAGGAATTCCTCCTGTTTTGAGATCGGACCGCCCTCTCCCCAGGCTGCATTCACGCGCGGGTCATTCATCCACTTGTGCAAGAGGTCTAGGTCGGACGGCGTGTTCTGAGGCAGTTGCTCAATGCTGCTCGTCGAGTGACTATGACCATGACCTCGATGTCGCATCGCAGACGAGGATAGAATCGGTACGCGGAATGACAGGTACTGCCCCACGCTGGGAATGAACCGGATGTAGAACACTTCGCCCTGATGGGGCGGCTTAGGTCTGACGGGGTGCCGTAGCCCGTTTGTGAACGTGTACTGAGTTGGTGGCGGAGGAAAGTATGTCGGAAGGTGACTGCTAGAAGCAAACGGGCCCTCATTGGGCATGTGTAGTGGGAAGTCCTTCCTCGCAGGGGAAGCCGGATACTCAGCTGACATCGGGCTCTCTCGCGACGGTGACGCAAATCTGGGAGAGAGAGAAGGCGATGCCGGGGCAGAATGCAGTGGGTTTGCAGGGACCAGGGTGAAGACGAAAAGACGGGGGTCAATCTGCCAGAAACTGCGTCGGCTCACGAACATCCGTGACCAGGGCCCGGACTCTCGCATCTCGCTCGGCTCAAGCCCAACGGAAGATTCCTCCGATGCAATGAGTCCCATGCGCTCCAGCTTCTGCAGCAGGTTGCGTCCCTTGAAGATCCCCTCTCTCTTGAGATGAATGCGCCATTCTCCCTTCGGTTTGCCTGTGAGCGATGTACGAGATGCAGCGTCCGTCTGCAAGTGGAGGTCTGGCTCGGGCTCGTGGAAGTACCAGTACAGGCTCACCCAGATCATCATCGCAATCCGACGAGTCGGAGAGGTGGGAGGTTTGAAGTCGGTACTGGGCGGATTGACGATAAACGAAATGTAAAAACAGTCATCGGACAATGTTGGTGTTGTGAAGCGAGCGGTGCGTTGCTTCTCCTCTGCGTCTCCCTGTGCATACCGAGAGCGACCGCGCTCTTCTTCCGGGGGCACGGGATCCTGTGTGGCCTGATCTGTGTTTTGGTTGGTATAGAGAACAATTGTCCACCCGGGAGGAACTATGGAGTCTTTCAAGTGCATGTCATTGGATTTGAAGTTGACACCGCCAAACACAGGGGTCACCGTGTAGCTTTGGCCGTTGGGCAAACGGCAGATAGTGTTACGCATGGTGAGGGCGGACGGTCTATTGTTAGGAGGAGGGAAAGACGAAAAGACGCAGGGCTCAGAGGATCAGGCAAACATGAGGAGAAATATTAAATAGAATATGGAGACAAGGGCGGATACATGAGCCGACGGGAATCCCACAGTGCAAGTGGGATGATTTTCCTTTCTTGCCGTTCATCGATGACGAAGGGCCCCGCCCGTTATCGATCTTATCGCCCGGGACATCTCCAACGGCTTAGAGAGGTACACAAGAAATTTATGTCGTCTGAGTCATTGAGTTTATTTGGTCTTACTGTGTGCATTGAATATTGCGTTGGTTGTGCTACTATTGATCTCGAAAGGGGATTACGATCTTTACTACGTGGCGGGGGTCCGCAGATGCTTGCAGCCATAGTCAAATCGATTGAAGGGTATAGAAAGCGAAACTGGTCCGGTAAAATACAGCAAAGATTCGACACTTCAGAATCATAGTCTAAAAGTCCTCCACGTTGGTTCCCACATTTCTCGTCCGAGCCATCTGGACGAGATCGCCTCCGGTCACCAGGTCCATCAAGCCCAGGCCTACGCTCTTGTAGATGACATTGCCTCGTTCAACCCACTCGCGCAGGCTCTTGGTGTCTTCACCGTCCTTGTTGTTGTCCTTTCGCGATGCGTCCCGTACCATCAGGAGCTCTCCCAGCTCAACAACCTGGTTCGGCTTGATGCCCGCCTGGATCAATTCTCCGGCCTCCTTCAGAGCAGCCTCGAGACTGTCGACTACCACGACGCCACTACGTTTAACGTGTTTGTGGAAATGCCGACCGGAATGGTGCGCGTTCACCTCTTCGCGCAGAATGTCTGGATGCAGCTCCGTCATGTGAGATTTGTACGACCCAATGGCGCTGATGAATCGACCCTTTCGGCGACCTTCGCGGGAGGTGAGAAGCTCAGCGGGGAAAAGCGGCTCGATAGATGGAGTACAGCAAAAGATCGCGTCCGATTTATGGATAGCATCGTGGATGATACGGTCGTACTCGCCGAAATCAGTACTGACAGCGGAGAATTTCACATCACCGCGCCAGCTTGAGTTCTCAGGAGAGTAGATATCCTTGAGAAGCCTGGCTGCCCGTTCAAATGATCGATTGACGATAACGACCCGCTTGATATCCGCCGCACGCAGCGTGAGAGCCAACCGAATGTGCCAGTAAGCCTGTTTACCCGCCCCGAAAACCACCACAGTGCGAACTCTCTTGCGCTTGTTGAAAATCATCGTCGTGGCCAGGGCCGTCCGGAACGGCGTGAGTTCATGAGCATTGATCAGCCCGAACGGCATGCTGTCGGCGCCCAGCAATGTCACAGTGCCCTGCGGCGAGGTGTCTCGAGTACCGGCTCCGGGCCATGCACCTAGCGTCTTGGACATCATGCTGGAGCCAACCGATTGTCGATTCACAGTGCCAGACTTCAGCGATCGGCTGCTAGACGAACTCGTCGATCCTTCTTCCTGTGATGATATAGACAGATCACTCATTTCAGACGACAGCGACGTCATGGAGCTCCTTGGGCCCGCCGACCGCGACCTTGAAGCAGTCTTCGTTCCCTCGGGAATTTCAAAAGCGCCTTCCACAGCACACCCTGCAGCACCTCCGTCTTGTAGAGAAATCATCTTCATGCCGAGCGTCCGGCCGGTACTGGCGGGCATGAACAGTGTCGTGCAGCCATTCTGCCGGGTGATAGCGGTTCTGAGAGGTTGGTAAGTAGCGGCACAACCCTGTTCCTGGCTTCCGGTCGAGTAGTCTAGTAGGGCCTGGGCAAGGCTTTGTTGTAGCGAGGACACCTCATCGCGGTTCAGAGACAGCAGCAGCGAGCGAAGCTGCGCTTGGGAGAGGATGGTCAGCGGCATATGGAGGAGATGTTGATCAAGCAGACTGACTAGGAGAAAATTCTAGTAACACCTGAAGAAGACCAAGAGCGCGATTGAGGACGAAGAGATGATAAGTGATACGAACTGAGCGTCAGCCTGACTAAGGCAAAGCAACAGTCATCCACGTTTTCGACGTGCTTCGATAAATAAATAGACTACCAAAGTAGTCTGGTACGCCCACATAATAAATAATCGCGCAAAGGATACGCAAGACAGTTACTACCTTATCATCCTGTGACCCGCATTTGGGTGGGATCCAAAGTCTGTAAGCCCGCAACCGGTCGGAGATTCTCGCGTTATCCAGAACAGATGACGGAAGTCAAGCCTTGGCTCAGCTCGGACTTTGGAGATAGGGCGGGGCTAGATGCCTGTGTT